AATATGCTCTAATAAATTTTGATCACGTGACTGATTTACTGCTGCAGCATGCTGCGTATGAAAAGGCACCTTGAGGCAGTTATTTTGAAACTTAAGCAGCTCTGTGAATTCCGTATGGATGAAATTCTTAAGTCGCATATGCAAAAGTGTGTGCTCCCCGCTTTATGCGTTTGCGTGTATGCGTTGCGTTACTCCAGCTAACCTACAAAGTTAGAATTGAAAGTGTCCTTTGACGCATTTAGACGTGTTTTGTCTGAAAAATTTTTATATAACATTTTATTAAAGTTTTAATAGCTTCTTGCAACATTAATAATTTGTTATCCATTTTTAATCTTTGCTTCAAAACTCTAGACACATCAATAATAATGACGTGTACACATAATACGGAAAAATTACCAAAAATATGTTATAAGATTCAAAAACAATTTTTGTAATAATATAATTTTAAATTACATTTATTTAATACTGTCACAATAATTATTTATTTCAACATTTTAAATATTATACTTGAATAAAAGTAACAAATCTTACTGTTTCGATGAAGTACTTATTTTTTAAATTATGTATTTATTTCCCGGAACGCGTCATTTTCATGTCTTTCACGCACCGTGTGCACAGGGCACAGAAAAACATGCGGAATAGAAAAATGCAGAAAAGCGCTGATTGACTGTTCAATTTACGCATTCTCTGTGCCGCACGTCGATTTCCGTATCATGGGATCGCACCCTAACTTATTGCACCAATGTGCACTAGTTCATTAGTACAGGAACAGAAAACAAACCTTAGGTTTAATGAGTTAGTCCGGGTCTACAATAGATGTAGTAAGCTATAAGCCACAGTATAACCATACCCAGTAGCGACAGTGAGCGTCGGCACCTTTGATGTAGTATGTCTCAACTCAGCAACGTCACGTGGTATGCCGCCATATTGCTAAGGGTAACGGGCGCTACGATTCAAATGTATGTACACACGGGGATAGGAATGCTTTTTTGAAGTTACACGCATATTGGGCATAATCCGACATGCTTCGATATTTTGATATTCGTGTTATGACTATAGATATTCGATAACGCTGTCTCAGTAAAATATTAAAATAATATATAAAGATATAATATATAAATAAAATATTATAAACAAATATAAATATATTAAGCTGTGAAGCACGTAATCGAGTTATGTCCGATATATGTGTGACACGTTAATTTCACGGTCACATTTTTCCAACCACAATTTTGCTCTGAAAAACGTTTTATACACAAAATATTAGGAAGAAAATATTTGATATATAATTAACATTTATATATATTTATATTTGTAAATTACAAATTTATTAATAACAATTAGTTTTATATACCTATCTGGATCTTTTGGGAAAAAAAACTGAGACCAGGTTTACGCTTAGAAATATTTTTACAATTTTTCATAGCGCAACTGTATCCACCTTTCTTCACAGATGACATCACGAATGAGTAAAGAGGAAACAATTAAATTTCAAGCGAGATTTATCGAGCTAATTATCTTATTACGCGATTTCTAGCACTACACAACATATAATAACCCGCTTACAGCAGCTGACGGCAGCCATGTTGCTAAGGATATAAGTTCGCACATGCGCACTCAGATTTGAGACACGTTTAAATGGCCCACTGTCGCTACTGGGTATGGTTATACTGTGTCTAAGCCTTAAGAAATTGATCAATCACCTTAGATTATTTCCCTCATTCTTGACTGTGATTGGTGAATTTCTTAAAGCTTAGAGCTTACTACACCTGTTATAGATCCGGCTTTAAACTTCGGTTAAAGCGAGTTGTGAAACCAGGCCTTAATCAGTCAATTAAATTATAGAGTGCTTTCCAGCAATGACACAAGACGACACAGTGTATCATCCTATCTTTGTCATTCACTGGTATTGAAAGAAGATAGAATGATACCTTAGAACATATAGATATGGAAGGGGAATAGGAGCGCAAAACTGTGTCCAAGTTGGGTGCGAGAGAGAATCACGTTTTTAAGGAAAGAGAAGGGTAGATTGTTACCTCCGTTCGCAATGCGCAAACGCGAATTAGCGAAAGCACCAATTACATTTCTAGTTTCAAACGGCGCGGTGAGCGTGACGTCACCGTGACGTCATCTACGTTTGCGCATTGCGAGCATAGGTTAAAAGCTATCTTTCTCTCTCGCACCCAACTTAGACACAGATTTTTACCATGGAGAACAATAGCAATTCCCTTCCAGGTATATATGTTCTAAGAATGATACACTGTGTTGTATTGTGTCCTTGCTGGAAAACATCTATAATCGGAGATGGTGAAAGTGGTCTTATCTGTTTTTTTTGCTAAAAAGCTTCTATAGAGTTCCCTATAGAGGAACTCTCCAACAAAAAAAGACAGATAAACTCAATGCGATTGGCTATCGAATAGAGAATTTTGGAAGTTTCGAAAAATTATTCTATTTGATAACCAATGTTAGGTTGTTGTGTTTATGTGTATTTTTTTGCTAGAAAGCAATTAGTTATCAAATAGAAAAATTTTCGAGATTTTAAAAATTCTTTATTCGGCAGCCAATTACATCACATATCTATTTATGTTTTCTCGCGGGAAAGCACTCATTATATTCAAAACGAAAAATTATATCGTTCTCTTACAACATATTTTGAAATAAAAATTTGTTTTTCTTTATATATACAATTATTTGCGTCTGTCAGAAAGAATTGGTAAAGTATACCCAGACAGCACAGAATATTTTTATAATTATTTTAATATTTTATAAATATTTATCACAAATATTTTATAAATGTTTTTGAAGTCTTAGATTCAATAGATCATAAATATTTATCATATATATCAGAAAATATTTGCGATAAATATTATGGTAAATATTATAAATATATTTATTAAATCATTATGATACAGATTTTTTATTTATATTTTCTTTAATAAATAATACGCAGTAAGAAATTATGAGTTAAAAAAACATAATCAACGATTTTTTAATCAAAATGATCGGTTGATATATACTAATCTAAAATTTGATCGATTAGATGTATTTGTGTTTTTCAAACTCTATTAGCCATTTATAAAAAATAAAAAATGTGTAAAAAATGTTTATAAGTAACTTATTAGACATTTATATTTTAAAATAGCATATAAAATTATAATATACACTGAATACACTTAGGCAACAGAGTATAGTTAAACAAATAAATTTACGTACAAATCGATATATACGTATTTTTTAAAGCCTTATAGAAATTTATCACTAGTAACGCCAATTTATCACTTATTTCGAGTACTTATATTACTGTATATCAGTATTTTAAGTACTCGAAATAATAAGTGACTAATTAGCATTACTAGTGATAAATTTCTACAAGGGAAAGACATTCTGTTGCAAAAAGGAAAATTGTTGTCAAAAATAGAAATAATTTTATGACATTTTTAATTTTATTAATTTCCGTTTTTGCTAGCCTTATATAATTCTCACGACAAAAATCAAATACGAGAAAGATAAAGTTACATAGCAGTAAATGAAAGAACTAACAATTTAATTAAAAAATATTTACAAAATAATTACTATAAATATTTATCTTTACATACCATAAATATTATATGAAATATTTAATCTATGTTTTAATAATATGTTAAATAAAGGTTTTTATAAAACATTTTAAAAATAGTTACATAATATTTGAAAAAAATATATATTCACAAATATTTATGAATCTTTATCATAAATAAGGTAAAATTTTTCTCTCGACCGTACTAGCAAATATTATTTATTCAATCACAACGTTTCGACCCTTCTTTGAGTTCTTATCAAGTGATTTGTAAAAATAAAAATAAAATTATAATTTTAAGATGTCAAGAACGAACATAGTGTCGGTTTGACAACACGTCAAGACTCTTAGACGAGTTATTGGAGACTCAGTCTCTATGTTCGTTTTTGACATCTTAAAATTATAATTTTATTTTTATTTTTACAAATCACTTGATAAGGACTCAAAAAAGGGTCGAAACGTTGTGATTGAGTAAATAATATTTGCCAGTACGGTCGAGAGAAGAATTTTACTTTTTTTAAATTCTGTCTGGCGATTCTCAAATATCTACGTTCTTACTTTATCATAAATATTGTGTGCTGACTGGGATCGAATCTAAACAGTGAGTCTTGACTATGTCGAAGCAAATTATATAAATTACTATTGTTCTTGACTACACTATCTATTTTTTTCCAACTATTAAACACTAAATTTATTCAAGATATGACATGCACATGCACCGGCACACATGCACACGCGTAACATTAATCAATTTAATATTTATCAAGACATATTTACATAGTTGTATAACAGAAAAAAAAATAATTTGGATATATAAATATTTGCCTCTTACAAAAAGATTTTAACATAAACCTAAAAAAATTTTAGCCCCGAAGAATATCTATTATTATTTGTTTTATATGTGATTATAATAATTTATCTAGTATTATTTTTACATCTCACAATTAATTTTTAAAAATTCTGACTCGATTTATAATTGACAGAAAAGTAAACAAACAAAATGCAAAAGGTTAATTCATCTAAGCTCCGATTAATTTTCATTTATAATATATTACAGTATTTTATTAGTATATAGATAAAATTATTAATATTTTATATTTGATGCACTTGAAAAACAATTAGAGTATAAATAAATTATGTATATATGAAATTATATATATTATTATTATGACAATATTGTGCTATTCGAATTATTTGGAGTTTAATCGATTTTTAATTCTAAAAATAAGTTATATAATTTCTGAGAATACATTTGTAGAAACTACGAATATATTTCTTACATTTCATTACAAGTTTTACTTGTGGTATTCGCGATTTAATACAGAAGTAAACGAATCGTGATAAAAAATTGAAAACAGATTCTATTATTTATGATTCTTTAATTGCAAACTACGAGATACAAGCAACGGATATGATCGCAGATCGAAGAATGACAATTATGTACCTTATCGACACTGTAAAATCGGTAGGCACGACGGATGACAACAGCGAAGCAACCAGAGCTAACTGCATGTAGCATCGTGCGAAACTAGAATTTATGGTAGTGATGAAGAGGAGAGAGCGGTGGGAGTCGGATTTATTACTTACTCGTGCGACCGCAATTTCAAAACTCGTCACGTAATCGTGCCGCCGCAATATTGTCAGCCGCGTGCCGATGCCGATGAGTATCGAGTTCAAGCTCATTGTAATTTTTGTTTTTCAATATATCATGGTACGGGAAGGGGCAATTTCTTCTCAATATAGCAGACTTATTTGTTTTTTGCCGATAAAATCGCACAGCGGTGACTTGGATATTTAACACATCTAATACTGCCATCAGTGCCGTAATTAGGGCGGTGTCATCGGTGCCCCTGCAAGCTTTAGGGGAGCGTAGTCAAGGCAGAAAATAAAAAAGTTGAAAAAAGATTAAACATATATACAGGGCAACGGTCAATTATCTCCTAAAATAATGGTTTTATGAAAAAATGTTAAATACCAAAGTTGTAGGACTCAAAATAAGGCATTTGATGGTGAGCTTTTTCTTTGACCTAGGGATCAAATTTAAAGGTCATTTCGAGGTCAGCTTTTTTTTTTTAATAGAACCCTCCATTTTTCATAGCATATTCTTATAGCTTATCTTGAGAATTTTCCAAGACACTATAATAAAATATTTTTTCATTAAATACTTTTTGAATTATAAAGGTTTAATTTAACAATTTTTTGTTGACACAAAAATGTTTTAAAAAAGTATGTTGCAAATTACATACAGTTTTTAAAGCAACTATGTTTTTTTTACACCAATTAATTGGTCTCATATTATTCCATGCATAAAAGTATTAAGGTATAATTACTAAAAACTGAATATTTTACAAGATATTTTACATTTTATATAAAAAATGGTTAATGTCAAACCTTTATAATTCAAAAAGTACTTAATAAAAAAATGTTTTATTATAGGAAAATGTTTTATTACTAGAAAATTCTCAAGGTAAGTTCCAGATAAGCTCGAAATAATAAGAATATGGTATGAAAAATGGAAGGTTCCATTTTAAAAAATTAAGTTGATCTTAAAATGACCTCTAAATTTGACCCTTTAGTTAAAGTCAAGGTCATCATTAAGTGTCTTATTTTGAGCTTTATACCTTTTGTATTTAACATTTTTTCAAGACCACTATTCTTGGAGATAATTGACCGGATTTTTTAATCACCCTGTATATTTATTCGCAGCAAATAAATGTCTTTCTTTCAGTTCAAAAGTTCAATATTTTATTCTAGGTAATTGGGGAAGGGAAGGAGGCGCAAAATGTTGAGTAATTGCCCAGTAAGCAAAAAATCATTGCTACAACGTTATTTTTGTTGGCAAGTATATAGTTTTTAACATTGTATGCAACATCATTATGAACAAACTTTGACATCGATTTAGAGGTTTCGGTAATGTTGAAATTAACGTTTTTAAAATATTTTATTAATATTTTGAGCAATATATGTGTGTGTTATTAAATAATATTTTTAAAACATTTATAAAACATCAGTTAAAATATTTTTTAGTGTCGTCTAATTAAATCTTGCGCTTGCTAGGAAATCTTGATTTAAATATAAATCATTACATTGAGAAATATAAATTTCTTTATCCAGAGATATGCGTTGTGTCAAATTTTTATTGTAAAAATGAAACAAATATATGCGATTGCAATTTTGAGAAAAGAATATCAATTGATATTATATTGATTTATTGTTATAATAATGTATATGAAGAAGCAATAAACACAATAAATACAATTATATCGAAATAATGATGCATATATCTATCTATATATGCAATATATAGAAAGTTTTCAGTTATATACCCAGATAGCCACAGTAATTATTATGACATCATTTTGATGGCAAATGATGCATTTTGACATCAAAATGATGTCATAATAATTACTGTGGCTATCTGGGTACATTGCAATAACGTTACAATTTTTGCGCAATTTACAATGTAACATTGAAAAAAAATTGTATCTTCAATTTGAGAATTTTCCATTTATTTTTAGAATAGCCTGTTCTAAAATAAACGTCAAAAGGATCCTCTTAACTTAAATGGGCGGAGGAATCTTCTAAAAATTTTAGTAGTACCTATTAATTAGAATGCAGACAAGATTTATCTTTACACATTAATTATAATTTTTTTATTACATTTTAAACTATAATTTTTATTATAATAATAATTTTAATTTGCTATAGAGAAAACATGATTTTAAAAGTTATATATGAATTCCTATCTGTTCTACAAAAATAATAGTACCTTGAAAAGTTTTATTTATTATGATCATCATCATCATAAAGTCCTGAGTCTGAAGATTGGTTGGACGCGTATCTCCTGGATTAACCTAAAAGGTGGAGCATTTCATTCCAGACAGCACTATGCCCAAAATTGGTGCATCAGACAATCTTTAAGATGCTTTTAAAATGTCTTTGAAACATCATATCATAAAATTTCTTAGAGATTTCTTAATGATGTCTTATGTACCAATTTTGGACCTATGATGCAATCTGGGATGCCTATTTGCTTTGCGAGCAGTAATCTAATTTTGAGCTAATCCCTGTCTCTCCTTATTCCTATCTCTGCTTTTAATATGGTTACGAATTAATCCTTTATGTCTCAAGTGTCCTATCATCCTTTCTCCTATTTCTTATCGCATTCCGTATACTTCTTTTTTTTTAATTTTTTTATTGCTGACCCTATAGCCTCTTGCACAATATCAAGCAACAGGCAATAGGAATAAGAAATAGAAAATATCAACCAATCGGAAAAGGAGATAGATATTATTCTCTGCTCCTATTGGTGGATATTTTCTATTTCTTATTCCTATTGCCTGTTGCCTGGCATTGTGCAAGGGGCTTATCTATTCACGGTATCTCATCATACGTCTGTAGCATGACATTTCAAATGCTTCCAATTTTTTCCTATCCGCTTCTACGACAATTCAGATTTCGAACCGTACAATATATGCCGTGTTCCATACATATGCACCTTTAAAGTCTTTTAAAGTTAAATGCGATCAGCCTTGTATTAATCTATGTTTTATACTGTTCCTATTATTTCAGATTATTGGACTTCTCAATAAACACATTTTTCAAGTCTTCTATTTCGTGTCACTTTGTTAACTTTATTCATTCTCTAATAAACTAAAACCATTCAGGGACAAACACTGCGCTGCACTGTAAATTGCAATACTATAGGTATTAGGGTATAGCAAAAAGATGGGTACCCCGAATTAACTTGAAGAGATGATGTTTTTGAAAATAATGTTTCAGACAAAAGTGGTATGGCTTCAAGGAAGATAAGATAGTGGCAAAGATTTGATCTTAGTCGTTTGAAGATCACTTTTAATTTTTTATATGAAACCTACTATTTTTATTGCATATTCTTTTAGCTTATCTCGAAAGCTTTCCAAACACTATAATAAAGTGTTTTTTCCTTAAGCACTTCTTGAGTTAAGATTTGAAATCAACAATTTTTTAACATAAAATTAATTTTCGATAATCTTACCTTAATCTTATGCCTTACCTTAATATTATGCATAATGAGACCAATCAATTGATGTAAAAAATACATATAGTTTCTTTCAAGAAAAAGTACGCAATTGCATGTTATAAATTACATACTTTTTTAAAAACTATTATTTGATTTCTTTACACCATTTGATTGGTCTCGTTATTATTCTGTGCATAAAAGAATTAAGGTAAAATTACCAAAAACTGAATATTTTACAAAAAATTTATATTTTATGTCAAAAAATTGTTAATTTCAAACCTTATAACTCAAAAAGTACTTAAGAGAAAAATACTTTATTATAGTCGAGTTTGGTCGAGAGAAGAATTTTCTATTTTATTTTACTTTATTATATAGTGTTTTGAAAAGCTCTCAATATCATATACTATCATATATGTTGCTGCAACAATATCTCTATGCAACGCCAAATGAACGGTCCACATAAAAAAACATACGACTGTTGGTTATTAAAAAATATATTTTTAGTTTCAGAAGATGTTCTAGAAACACTTAAGAATATCTATTAAGATAGAGTTTGTGGTAAGTAATTCAGTCTTTTTACTTCGAGAATACAATTTTTTTTTAGTAAATGTAATATTTTTTTTACTAACGGATAAGACAGATAATACATGATTAAGATAAAACAAAAATTGCATTGCAATGTTATATATTATCTAATATATTGTATATTGTATATTGATAAAATCACTAGATTGGATATAAGAAGAACTTGTATCATAGCCGAGTTATTCATTAGATCTAACATTGTTAGATTTTTTATTATTTTATAAATAAAATCGTTAATATAAATATTATAACATATATATTATGGATGTGTATGTATATAATATATTTTATTATAACTAGGTATTACATCAAAATTAATATTTAACAGATATCGAATAAAATAATTTTTGAATTTTGTCATATTATTAATATTGATTAAATATTTAATTTAAAAATATTCACATATACAATAATTTAATAATAATCTATATATTACTCCTTATTTACAATAAAATACAAAAATATGAATTTATTAATTCAAATTGTACATTATATTTATACGTAAATGTACTATATGATTTTTAGTGTTTGTACATTCTTAGTTAATTAAAAAAAAATTACTAACAAAAAACTTTTAAAAGTCCTTTTTATTTCAAAAATAAAAATAGTAAATTATAATATATTGTAAAAAACTATAAAATCAAATTACAAAAAGAGGGCAAAGAGCCGTAGCAAGAAAGTCGTGCTATAACAATAATTGACTAATATGTCAAGTGAAATAAAACGTTTCGGTTTATTTTAAACCATCTTCAGTTATAAATTAGAGTTACAAATCATAGTCATTTAAATATTGAGTCGCAGTGAAATAACATATACAAAACGCACGCATTATACGATAAGTGTCGCATTGGAATTGGCCAAGATATTTAGTCTTAGGATCAATAAAACTGTAATACAAAATAATAATTACTTGTAAACAATTCTACTCGACATTATATGAAGATATGACTTTTTAAATAATTATTATCATATTACAAAAAAGAATTGTAATACATATCTTTATCTTTATTTCTAAATAAATAAAAACAAACATACGCATTGCTTCAATCGGAAATTAAATATTAAGATTATTCTTTGTAAGTTATTTTAAAAAAATATATATATATATATATATATATATATAATATTATATATATAAGATATATATAAGATATAATTTGCTGGGTTCATATGTTATATGTTAAATGTCAAAATGAATGGAATGGATAGATCAAATAAAATAGTAAATGTTTTTATGGATGAAATGAGTGGAAATGAAACAGAAACTATTATGAGTAATGAGATAAATCCATAGATTGAAATAGATGAATTAAGAGATATTGAAAATTTAGCTAACGGTAAGTAACAAAAATAATTATTTATTTAATTTTTGTATAAATTTTTTTAAAAATTTATCGGTGTTTAACTATTAATTAATTTATTAATAATTATTTGAACTAATCCATGTTTTGTATAAATGTAGCTGTGATTAATTATTAATTAAATTATTAATAGTTATTTAAACTAATACATCTATTGTACATTTACATCATGTAATGTATATTATAACTTACAGTAAAATTATAATTTCAGAAATGAATGAAAATGAAACAGAAGCTCTTATGATTAATGAGATAAATCCACAGATTGAAATAGATCAATTAAGAGATATTAAAAATTTGATAACGGTAAATAAAAATAATAACTATTTATTTAATTTTTGTAAAAATTTTTAAATAAATGTATAGGTGTTTAACTATTAATTAAATTATTAATAATTATGTAAACTAATACATCTATTGTACATCTATATCATGTCATGTATATTATAATTTACAATAAATTTATAATTTAAGTTTTTGAAGATGGATTTGATAATTTATTAGTACAAGCTTTAATAGAATTTGAGGAACAAGAAGAAAAAAAGAAGGAAAATGTTTTTAGCAAACAGGACTTTAAGAATAACAACAAAAAGGAAAATAAGAAGCGAAAACAAGAAGATGACAAAATAAGCAAACAGAAATTTAAGAATGAGAACAAAAAGGAAAATAAGAAGCGAAAACGAGAAGATGACAAAAATTAGAAGAATTAAAAAATTAAATATATTAATATTTATATCTTATATATAAATTTATATGTAAAAAAATTTTAGATTAAAATTATTTGTAATTTTTATATGTATTTATTATTTTTCTATATATTTATTATCTACATCTTATATATAAGATATAAGATATAAATTAGGAACAGTATACTTGAATACGTGTAAACATAGCTTTAATTTAAATGCCGTTATCATGGTAACTAATTTAAATGTTTTATTAATTTAATGTATTGTATAAATCTAATTCTATTATAACTTCGTATATACTCGTATATCCAAAATGTCTAAAGAGATAGAAAAGAGGAGCGAAAATGCAAACATTTTAAATAAGGACAATGTAAGTAAAATTGAATTTCATAGATAGAGGATTTACATATTAATATAGAGAGAATGATAATAAATCGAAAAAGAAAATGATTGAGAGAGAGAGAGAGAGAGAAACTGAGGTTAAAAGAGAGAGAAATAATGAAATGTTTGTGAGAGGTGAGGGTGGGGGGTGGAGAGACAGAGGAGGGAGGGAGAGAGAGAGAGAGAGAGAGAGAGAGGGAGAGGGAGAGAGAGATTGATTGATTGATGAGCTTTTATTTAGCTTTCTCAGCTATTTTCTTATACATTTTAACATTTACATACAGGGTAGGCCATTTTAATCTTTCCACTAAAATTTCTCAAAATCCAAAAATTTAAGACAAAAATGTTTCAGATAAAAGTTGTATGGTTTCAAGGGGGACATGAGATGGTGTCATTGATTTGACCTTGAATAGCCATTTGAAGGTTACGTAAAGGTCAACTTCAATTTCTTAAATGGAACACTATATTTTTTCTTGCATACTTTTGTAGCTGACTTCGAGATCTTTCCAAAACACTACAATAAAATATTTTTTCATGAAGTATTTTTTGAGTTATTAAGGCTGCAAATTTGCAGTATTTTGACATAAAATACAAAATATCTTGGGAAATATTCATTTTTCGATTATCATACCTTAATACTTTTATGCACAGAATAATGAGACGAATCAATTGGTGTAAAGAAAACACATAGTTGTCTTAAAGAAAAATGATCTAACTGCTTATTGCAATTTTCATATTTTTTTTTAAAGGTAACTATGTGTTTTCTTTACATCAACTGATTTATCTCATTATTCTGTGCATAAAAGTATTAAGGTATGATAATCGAAAAATGAATATTTCCCAAGATATTTTGTATTTTATGTCAAAATACTGCAAATTTGCAGCCTTAATAACTCGAAAAATACTTCATGAAAAAATATTTTGTAGTGTTTTGGAAAGATCTCGAAGTCAGCTACAAAAGTATGCAAGAAAAAATATAGTGTTCCATTTAAGAAATTGAAGTTGACCTTCACGTAACCTTTAAATGGCTATTCAAGGTCAAATCAATGACACCATCTCATGTCCCCCTTGAAACCATACAACTTTTATCTGAAACATTTTTGTCTTAAATTTTTGGATTTTGAGAAATTTTAGTGGAAAGATTAAAATGGCCTACCCTGTATGTAAGATATGCGCTTTTAATCTTCTTTTAAATAATTCGAGCCTATCGCAAGTTTTAATTTCTACTGGCAGGACGTTATACAATATACTTCCTTCATAAAACAAACTTTTCTGTGCACTCCTTGTTTTTCGAAATTGAATTTCGATATTACCCGCTTGTCTTGTTTCCCTATCGCATTCGTTTCCTACTATTTGTAACTTATCTCTTAACTGAATTGGTAACAGGTTATTCAATATCTTGAAAATAAATATACATATATTATATTGTAATCTTTGTCTTACTGACATAAATTGCAACGCCTCTAGCATGTCTTCCACTTTGGTGTATCTATGACATTGAAGTATTATCCTCATAGCTCTGTTTTGTACCTTCTGCAGTTGGGTTATCTGCGTCTCCCCCATGCCTATTAATATCGTCGCGCAATACTCAAAATGAGGAGCTATGATTGTCTTATATATAATGCATCTAGTATACACTGATATGTAATTACCTACTCTATTTAAGAAACTCGTTTTTTTACCTATTTTCTTTAACATATAATCACAGTGATCTTGAAATCGAAGTCTGTCATCGATAATTATACCTAGATATTTCATAGTCTCTACACGCTCTATTTCAATTCCGTCCAGACATTTCAAAATAGTATTACCTCTCAATTCTTTTCGAATACTTCTAACTATCATATACTTCGTTTTACTTGCATTCATTTTTAACTTATTTATATTCATCCAACGTTCGATTATATTAAAAGCCGTGTTCAATTTTATCTCTATATCCGTGCTACTTTCTCCACTTACGTATATAAGCGTGTCGTCTGCAAACATTTTTATATTGCACCCTTCTGGACAGCCTTCGATTATATCATTTATACATATATATTATAAATAGTAAAGGTCCTAGTACCGAGCCTTGTGGCACTCCGTATTCTGTTGTCAATAATTTAGACCATGTATGATTGAAACGCACTTGCTGTTTCCTATTATTTAAATATGATTTGAACCATTCTAAGGCCATTCCTCTAATTCCATAATAATACATTTTTCCTAATAATCTTTCTCTGTCTATTGTTTCAAACGCTCTCTTAAGATCCATGAAAATTACACCTACCATTTTTCCTTCGCTTACTATTAATTTCCATTCGTCAATGACAGTTTGAATCGCTGTTTCACACGAGTAATATTTTCTAAACCCCGACTGATGTTCTGTTATAATATCGTTAGTTTCCAAATACATTTCAAGTTGTTCTTTTACTATTAATTCTAACACTTTTTCAAATATTGGTAACATATTTATAGGCCTATAATCGCTCGCTTTTTTCGCTTTATCTATCTTTGGAATCGGTATTATCGTAGAGGTTTTCCAACCTTCCGGACAGAGACCTTCTCTTAAAGAATTGTTTATTATATTCGCAAATTCCTCTTTTATTACAGAAAAAGTTGTCCTCAATATATCGCTAGTTATTCCCTCTTCCGTACCTTTCTTTTTCGGCAATCCCATAACAATTTTTTCTAACTGCTCTAGTTTAATAGTCACGAAATTTTCCATAAATCCTTTATTTTCGATAATATAAATAATTTTTTTATTTATATTCATCCAATGTTTGATTATATCACCGGATCTAACGACCTTTATAGAGTTTATTATACTATTAATACTTTGTATATAATATAAATTAAATTTATCAGCTATATTGCACTCTTCGATATCGTCTAAAATTTCAAAATCTATATTTCCTACTTCTTTTATGCCTACTGGCTCGCCTCTAATTATTTCTTTCAAGGTTTTCCACATAGACGTAGGATTTTCTTTATTAAGATCTATCATATTTTCATAATATTCTTTTTTCTTCTCCCTAATTAATTTTACTACTGTATTTCTTTCAATTTTATACTGCGACCAATTTTGTTCGGTATCGTCATACAATGCTCTTCTATATGCCTTATCCCTTCTATCCGCAGCCTCTCTTATTTCGTCTGAAAACCATTTCTTCCCTTCCCAAACTTTCGGAATTCTAAATTTTTTCCTCGGCGCCATTACATCTAACGCACCCACTATACTATCGACAAGTTTTTTCGCCCTCTCACTGACACCCATACATTCACACTGACATTCCTGGCTTTCTTGTAATTTATTTTTCACTAATATAGCAAATTTATTTTCATCAAACTCTTTATAATTCCTAGCACTAAATTCTCTATATTTACTTTCAGTTTTACTAACACTCAGCTCAACTTTCAGCCACGCGTGATCCGTAATTTTAGGTTCATGAATTACCTGTACTATTTTATTATTATTAGCGAAGATCAAATCTATAATTGTCTGACTGTCTTTCGTAATTCTCGTCGGTTCGTTAACATATTGTTTCATACCTAAGCTTAGCATTGTCGTTTGCAGTTTATTCGCATAAAACGAATCTCTCATAAGATCTATATTAAAATCTCCTATTACCATGCATTCTCCCTTTATTATAAACTCTTCTACTATATCCTCGAAAAATCTCAAGAAATCTCCGTGCGATGCGCTCGGTGAGTGATATATTACCATTATCACTCCTTTATATAATTTATCTTTTACTTCTACCGCAACACACCAACAATTCGATTCTAATTTTTTTTTCCCTCTAATACTATTTCATATTTAATATCGCTTCTAACGTATAAAATAACTCCTCCCGTATTCCTATTCTCAGCATTACACCTAACTATACTATAACCCGGAACGTTCACTTCACTGTCTTCGATATCCTCAGTCACTCTGGTCTCCGATAATGCTAAGAACGCAGGATTTATTTTCTTCATGATCTGATGTTGTATCTCATCTCTGTGCGCAATTAAACTTTGCGCATTTGTATATAGTATTATCTCCGCTTCTTCCTGTGGTTGCTATTTAGCGTCCTCCCAGCCTGCTCTCCTCTTCTCCTCCCGTAGCGCCCTCTTAAAGGTCGGACATTCCGGACTAAGGGCGTCATGGTCATCGCTTATATTCAGATTGTATGATCGATTTTTGAACATACAATTCACACATTTCTTCTTTGTCGCTGTACAATCACGCGAGTTATGACTTCCTGCACATTTATAGCATGCTTCCTCTCGCGTACAATTTTTTGCAATATGATAATATCCCCAGCATTTGAAACATCTTTTACTTACTTTACTTACTTAAACTCACTGACACCTTCTGGAATGCCAGTTCATCGGCTTAAAATAAAAGTTGGTGCTACAATAATCTTATTAAGAAATTTAAATACTAAAAAAGGACTTTATAATGGTACAAGATTTATTGTAACTAATTTGAAAAATAATATAATTTATAACAGGTCCTGCTCGAGGACAAATTGTCATGATTCCGAGGATAGATTTAATTACAAATGATTTGGAACTGCCATTTAAGTTTAAACGAAGACAGTTTCCTATTCGAGTGTCATTTGCTATGGCAATAAATAAATCACAAGGACAAAGTTTA